TCCTGTGTGCAAATCTCACCTCCAAATTCGCTGATCAAAGTTATAGCTTCTGAAGTGATGCATTGAGCTCTTTAACTATTTCTCACATTAAAGTTAAGAAAAATCAAGATTTACAGCTAATGTATAACGAATTTAATTATGGGAATAACACTATTTTTCTTCCTCCCCCTTCCGCCAGGCAGTCGCCAGTCGAAGTTGCTTAGGAACCGAAGCTTCGAAAATGGTTTTCGGAGCCCCGAAAAATAGGATGGTGTTGTAGTGATAGTGAAGTGGTGGTGATAGCAGCGTAATAGACGAACTCCAGTGGAAAAAGCCATGAGATTAGATTGTGAAAATTGATTTTGAGGGTTATGTGTGTGTAATTTTATGCCATAGAAGCCGAAGAAGCTCATCTATGGTGGGGAGAAGCGGAGCTAGGGGGAGAGATGAAATAAGGGTTAAATTCGTTTAGGATTTTTTAAGTGGGGCAATTTGGGTCGGATAATTGGTAATTTTTAAGTGGATCGGGTATTTAAAAATTGGGGTGGGTCTTTTTGTTCCAAACCTGACACGTGACATTCCGTCCAAATTAAGTATATTATTGAACTAAAGTATAACAGTAGGGGCACAAATATACTGATAGTGAAACGGAGGATAAATTTAAATAATTTTTTATAGTAAAAGGATATATTTGACCATTTACCGTTAAAAATATCCATGAATAATTTGTATAGCATAATACCTTCAGCATTCACATCAATAGTAATTCTGAAAATAGTGGAACAAGAAGAATAACAAGTGATTTAAATAAAAAGAAATTGGGAGCTTTTGGATTACCTAATAGATCAAGGGGTAATTTTTAAAAGTTTACTGATGGTATGAGTAAATTTGGCTGGATAATATAACGGTAGGAGTAAATTTGGCCGGATAATAAAATGGAGGTTAAATGTAGGCAATATCCGAAAGTAGAGGGGATATATTTGGCCATTTTCCCTACATATAAACCAACTTCAAACGTTTCTAATTAAAGTTTGAACTCGACTCTACGGTTATCATTTCAGAAAGATATAAGGACAAACAAAAGATTTAATATGCGTCCTCGATTTTAAAATGGGAATGGCTTGTATAGGTTCTTTTTTAACCAAAGCAATGTATTGCTTGATAAGATATCTTTAGATTCTGACTTATAAGGACTAGAAAATAGATAAAAATCAAGGTCCTACTAATTAGGAACGATGTTCGCTTTATTCCTTTCAAACTCCAGATCCATATAAAATGCAGTTCAGTCTTTGAATCTTTGTGTAGGCGAGGCGTGCATAGGTATTAGGTTTCCATCTTTTAGAGAATATGACTTTGTGTAGGGTTTCCTATTCTTGTGAAATCTCTTTTCTTTCATAATCAATTGTAACATCTCATATTTCTTTTGTGATATATCATGTCCCATCCGCCTGTAAAGGTATCAAGGAAAACTTTATTTATTTATTTATTCATGGAACAATATTGGTTGATTTGGTAATATACTATCTGAAATTGAATAATGTTGTCGTTCGTTGAACTTTTGGTTTTACCCGACAGAAAACAAATTGTTTTTGCCCTTGTCCCATATGGCCATATCGGAGTTTAATCTGAGGGAGTGAGGGTAATATCAAATAAAAGTTGAGGGATAATTTTGACTTATTTTTTTGGATGCGTGGAGTCTATCTATTTCACAATAGAAATATATCAAGGAAAACTTTATATCATGTCCCATTCGCCTGTCAAGATATCAAGGAAAACTTTATTTATTTAATCATGGAACAATATTGGTTAGATTTGCTCATATGATATCTTTATCTATCATATCTTATAATACTTCTCCAAGACATACACATACCCCATCTTGCACTACTTCCCATCCACTGCCCTTTTGTCAGTAAAAGGGGTCAGTTTTTAGATTTGCTGTTTCTTCCTTTTTCCTTTTAAAAAAAAAAATTGAGTTGCATTGCCATTTCTGAATTTTCACAGGAAATACAAACGAGACTGTTTCTTGGTGAAATAGGATAATTATTTTCAGGATGATAGGAAACTGGTAAAAAAGAAAAAGAAATGGCCCATGCAGGTCTCGAACCTGCTACCTTCGCGTTATTAGCACGACGCTCTATGGGCCAGATGATTTGGCAATGATAAAAATCGTTTATATAACGAAAACGTAAAACACTGATATTTATAAAGAGTCAAAGTCGTGTGAAAGCGAAGCTTTCAAGAAAACGGAAGCCATGAAAAGTAATGAGTCTCGTTCAAGCTCTTCTTGTGCAGCTTGTAAGTTCTTGAAGAGAAGGTGCACTTCCAATTGCCAATTTGCACCATATTTCCGGTCGGACGAGCCCAAGAAATTCACCAACGTTCACAAGGTGTTTGGAGCTAGCAACGTGATCAAGATCCTGAATGAAGTGCCACAGGACCAGCGAGAAGACACTGTCAACTCTCTGGTTTACGAGGCTGAGGTGAGGCTCAGGGATCCCGTTTACGGTTGCATTGGAGCCATAGCGTCTTTGCAGCGAAAAATGGTGGAGCTGCAACATGATCTGATGGTTACTAGAGCTCATCTTGCTTACTATGAAGCTAAGCCTAGGCCTAGCACTTCTTGTTCATTCTTGGATTATGATCCCCTCAATGTCAATGTGCCTTCTGTTTTCGTGGACACCTCGCTGTCTGGTGGATTCTTGGATAACTTCAGCCAGAATTCCTTCGGCATGGACCACAGTGGATCCACGAATGAATTTGGCCAATTCCCATTTCCATGATCACTTCATCTCGCTCTCTTTTAACAGATTATGGGTTGTTTACGCATTTCCTGGTATATATAAGAGGAAGAGCGGCTCGTTAAAGGTAAATATATTCGTTTTTGTACATGTTATGATCATTTGCCTAGCAAATCAAAGACTAATTTGGTCGTTTGCTTTTCTGATAAACTGCTATAGCCACATAATCATTTATGCACGGGTGTTAAATGTGCTCCAACGAATAACGCACAAATTTCAAAAACCACAAGCGCTTTGAGCCTATTCCCATTCTCCGGAAAGAAAACCAAACTCAACAAAATCACAAGAATTTATTTTGAGCTTCACTAGTTATACTGATATGATTGATACAGGAAAGTATGAAAGAATTCATTTTTGAAGAAATTGAACATGTTTCCTAAAGACCATCAAAAAAATAGCATAACCTAGATTAATTTGAGAATGGAGCATGTAAACAATTTTTCAGCAACTAGCATGGCATTGCAGTTGCCCACAAGGCACGATGCCCAAGCTCTCAGCATGAAACACTGGCACGAACAAATTCTGACATTGAATTCAAATTTGCAAAGTACATCATACATCAACATTGATTTCTTATCATGATTTATACAAACTCTGTAAATAAACTATGTTATTACGATAATCTAGTAACATCTAATATACTGCAATGACGGAAAATTAATAAAGTAGTACTTATATTCGATCACTGAAGCTCCACAAAAATTAAATCCAAATCCACAAGTATCCAGCAGCTTTTGAGAGGTACAGTACTAGTTAGCTGCTGGTACAAAGGATCCACAGTTCTTTTATTGGGGTGCCTGAAACTCCGTCCCAGCTTGTTAGTCTACATTAATGCTACATTATCCAGTAATGTACCCACCATGTGATAGAATCCTGTCAAGCTTCAGTGCTCTGCCCAGCACTGCCCCAGTAACAATACAACAGGAGCCTGGAGCTGGCTTACACCATCAGTCCTTTTTCTCAAAGATGAAAACCAACAACAACCCGCTGGAATTTCACAAGTGGGATCTGAGGAGGGTAGTATGTACGCAGACCTTACCCCTACCGTAGGAAGGTAGAGACGTTGTTTCTTATAGACTCCCAGCTCAAGAAAGATGAAAAGAAATAGTAAAAACAAGCAAAAATATAAACAAAGAGCGATATTAACAACAAACACAGCCACAAAATGGATGGAAGGAAACAGCAGCAACAAACAATAACAGCAGCAAAATACTAAGAAACCGAAGCGAAGATGATAGGAAAACAGATGGAAATACTAGCAATCTAAGACAAGAAATACGCTCGGTACGGAATAGAAATACCATCCTAAAACCAGACTAACCTAAAACCATCGGTACAGAATAGAAATACGCTTGATTACCTACTAACCTTCTATCCTGATTCTCGACCTCCACACCCTCTTATCAAGGGACATGTCCTCGGTAAGATGAAGCCGGACCAAGTCCTACCTGATCGCCTCCCCCCAATACTTCTTAGGTCTCTCTCTACCTCTACTCCTACCCACCAAAGCCAACCGCTCGCACCTCCTCACTGGGGCATCTGAGCTTCTCTCCTCACATACCTGAACCATCTCAGTCTTGCTTTCCGCATGTTGTCTTCCACCGGAGCCACGCCCACCTTCCTCCGGACATCTCCATTCCTTATCTTATCCAACCCGGTATGCTCACACATCCATCTCAACATCCTCATTTCTGTTACTTTCATTTTCTGAATATAGGAATTCTTGACTGGCCAACATTCTGCCCCATACAACATAGTCGGTCTAACCACCACTCTGTAGAACTTATCTTTAAGTTTCGGTGGCACATTCTTATCACACAAGACGCTGGATGCTAGCCTCCATTTCATCTACCCCGCTCTGATACGATGTGTGGCGACTCATCAATCTCTCCCTTCCCTTGGGTTACAAACCCAAAATACTTGTAACTTCCTCTTTTGTGGGGATGATTTGTGAATCAAGCCGCCATGTCCGCTTCCTCCCTCACGCGCTGAACTTGCACTCCAACTATTCTGTCTTACTCCTGCTCAACTTGAAACCTTTAGACTCTAGGGTCTGTCTCTAAACCTCCAAATTTTTTGCCAGCATACAATGACCTGCTTGATGGAGCAAATAAGGGAAACCTCAAGACAAATATTTCATACACCGTCAAAATATTTACTTCAATAAATGACAAGTTACTGCACAAACATTTACAAGCAACTACGTGAATTAAACTTCAATCAGCAGTGAACTTCACCGTCTGTCATTCAAGATGCAACAGCTGCTCATAAGTACAACTTTCTAAAAAATAAGCAAATAAACTCCAAGTGTATAGCAACATTTTTTCTTTTTCAAAATGGAAAGTATATAGCAATACTAACATCATTAGCTGCAAATCATTAGGTAAATAAGAAAACTTGAAGACCTAATTACCTAAAAATGCAACCAAAGTGAGCAGAGGGATACAATTGCAGCCGGGCTTACATCATCAATTCTTTTTCTCAGAGATGAAACCATGTTGTCAATTCTTTGCCAGCATGCAATGACCTGCTGATGGAACAAATAAGGGAAGTCCAAGTACGTGCATTAATCATTCATCAGAGATAAGCCTTAAGGTGATTCTGTCATACACCCGATAACAACAACAACAACAAACCAGTAGAATCCCACTAGTGGGGCTCATACAATGACCTGGATGCAACTGCTGACATCAACTACAGCTTTTTAGAAAATAAGCTAAAAACTTAAGTGTATAGCAACATGAACATCATTCAGAAGTGCATACTTATTCAACTGCCAATCATGTAAGTAAGAAAAGTTGAAGATTTTATTATCAATCCAAAAATAAGTGGATGTGAAAAAGAGCATATAGAGAAATACTTCATACTATGTCCCATGTGCAAGCGAGGAGGGAGAATCCTATGCTAAAAAAGTGGTGCAAAATACAATTGCACTATTTTTTCCAAGTTAAAATTGCTCAAAGTTTTGCATATGAGTGGGGAAAAAACCATGGAAATTGATATGCACGAAATGATACTACAGAGGACACGATTCTGTATTACAAAATCCAGCAATTATTTAGTCTTGCTAAAACCGCTACTACAAGCATGGAGCCACAAGCTCTGGTTCTGTGACTTCTTTGACTGTAAATAAAAGTATGTTTTACTGAGATCAGACTAAAGAAGTAATGGGAGACTCATATGGACATGAACATATGAGTACATTTTTTCCTTTCAAATGATGTACATTTTTTTTTTTTTTTTTTTTTTTTTTTTTTTTTTGAAAAGGAATTATGTATATCTATTTTAGTAACAAATAAAGCAGTTAGACATTCCACACTGATCTCACTGTGGGTTTGTCAGAGACTTCACTCACTATAACCTCTTATTAAAACTCATACCTTATACCAGTTATTGTACCCAGCAACCAAACACAAATACTAGTTTTCTGGATACTGTTTCCAAACCATACAAGCGATCAGACATTGAAGCCACAACCCAATCAAATCTCCACTTTGCTCAAACCAGTGTGGCTCAGACTAGCAAAATTCTCCAAATTCAGTAAAAGCCTTTCCCGTAGCAAAGAACTACTAGTCCAGCATATACTAATAAGTAGAAGTGCCATCTCCAACAGCAGTAAAGAGGTTAAGTAGGCTGTTAGACAGGATCAGCTACTCTTAATAAATTTGAACTGCATGGTAGAAGCAGCATTTCGAGGATACATTTAACAATCTCTGTTCACATGAAAACCCAGACAAGAGTGGGTTGCTCTAGTGGTGAGCACCCTCCACTTCCAACCAAGAGGTTGTGAGTTCGAGTCATCCCAAGAGTAAGGTGGGGAGTTCTTGGAGGGAGGGAGCTGAGGGTCTATCGGAAACAGCCTCTCTACCCCAGGGTAGGGGTAAGGTCTGTGTACACACTACCCTCCCCAGACCCCACTAGTGGCATTATACTGGGTTGTTGTTGTTGTTCACATGAAAGCCCGAATGTAACTTCTAAAATAATATCTCTTAGATCATGTGTATCCAGTATTTGAGCTTCAATTGCTTCAGATTTGCCATAGTTACATGCTCAATGCAAAAGCATGAGGAACAAAGTGATTACTGTACATAAATATCAACACTGAGCTAAATTTAGTAGGTGGGCATGCCCTCAAGGTACAAGTAGTTGAATGACCATCTAGAAATAAAGGCATCTCAGAGATGCTTAATATATAAACAATCAAAAGAGAATTTAAATGGTAACCAGAAATTATCTTTATCAGTTCCAAGAATAGAAAGTTGTTTTTTTGGAACTTTAAAGAACACAAAATTGATAGCTCGAAAAGTTCAAAACTATTGAAATTGGATGGTGCCAAAGAGGAAAATTTAGGCCAAGTCACAAATGGTTGCAGTATTCATGGGGAGAACCTTTTTTTTATACCCGTGGTGTCCGGGTAAGCTTGCGCGCACCTCCACTAATTCCACGTGATACCTGCCACCTCCCACTAGCATCAGGTACCAGTTAATTCTACCCACCAAGGCTTGAACAGATGGGAAGAAATCACCTAGTATTTTTTGCCTCCGCTGGGATTTGAACCTGAGACCTCATGGTTCTCACCCACTTCATTGACCACTAGGCCACGCCCTTGGGAGCTTCATGAGAATAATTTATCAGCGGAGTAAATATTTAGCAATAGGAGGGAACCTACAAAATGGCCAGCAGTATTTTCAACTGAAGTGAATTTAGTAGGATCAAGTCAATAAATAAATCATTTAATCAACCACACATCGATCCCAAAATAGTCGGATCTTCTAATTCAATTAGCTCAGCGTGCATGGATTTCAAAGAATTATAGGTCTTTCTACATAACTTCCCTCCATGTGAATTAAGGTCTGTTTCGTCCTTGAGCACTTCAATTATCATGGGGGCAAACCTACGAATTGGTGCATAGGTCTATGTAGGAGATGATCAAAATATCCAGAGGGACCTCTAACTTTACCCTCTACGTGCCATATTCTAATTTGGTCATCCTCTAAGACCACATATCCATCTTAGTATCTACATCTCCTTTATTTTCAGTCGGTCTTAACATCCGGCCCAGCATTCACTCACAGATATCTCATTATTTTGATGAAGCATTCAAAGGTCTCTCATTTCAACCATCTAATTTCAATTAGTAAAATTTAGCGAGTAAAATGCCTACAAGCTGGTCAAAATACAACTGATCAAGCTGAATCACATATTCCTAGCATCAGCTTTGAGGGCCATGCCAGATCTTCAGTTTTGCTTTCCAGGGAAACATGTACTACCTACGGAGACTTACAAGTATGAACAATTTTGTAGACTAAGTATCTCCAGAAACTTCTAACATACTGAAAACTTAGAAGACTGCCAAAGTTCCAGCCTTAAATTGATAATTTGTTCAGCTTTTTTTACCACCTTGTACTTCAGTGGACTCATGGGGGAAAAAACCCAAACTAATGCAAGGACGAATCAACCCTATAGAAATCAGATATCACATTGAATTAACAACAAAGAATATAAAACCCTAAACTTGCCTGCTAGTCAGCCAACTTGTCCGATCGACAGTTTCTGGAATAATGTGGAGTACATAGACTGGGATGTATGACAATCTTTTAGCACAGACATAAGGCATTATACATGGCCAATAACCGATATCTAGCATTTTTTTACTGCAAACTTTAAAGGGCTTAAGAAACACCAGAAGGGGATAATTTCATAAGGAAACCTCATCACACTTCCAATGATGTCTAAAGGGCATCTGATGCTTTTTCTTCACATATGATAAATTGATCATGTTGACATTGAAAGATAAAAGACAGGTTGGTTCAATACCATTGCTGCAGAGTAAAATGGATATAACTAACTTGTGAGGGCACGAGTTTAAGTTGGCTTACCGGTAAGAGCAGGGTGTGTGGATGGACGTTTCCATCTTTCAACGTATGATAGATCATCCAAAACATCCTTTGAGTAGATACTGCCCTTTACCAACTCTATTAGCTGCTGCTGCTGCTGCTTCAAGTTCTCAAGACATTCTCACTGATCTTCTCATTTATCTTCTTAATCGAACTAGCCAGAGCAATCCGTGTACGCCATTTTATGCTTTTAGCATTCCCTTGAGGTACTTTTTTTATAAACAGTATAGGTCCTTGAAGAAAACATGAAGGAAAAGATATATTATTGTTTAACACCAACCATGTTCTTCATGGATCAATTGATTAATTTTATCTCCTTAATCATCTGGATGTGTTTGTAGCCACATTGATCTTTAAAACTTGAAAGCAACATGGTCCGTTCCCCTAAAACTTGAACAAATCAATCCAGCATTAGAATCTGGATGAAAAGGGTAACTGCACAGCATAAATATTTCAGCTCTTTTATTTATCTTTACAACTAATTGTATCAAATCAACGTTCCATTATGATGGATCAAATTCATAATCCGTATACATCATATAATGAATACTTCAAGAATTTTTTTCTTTGCTAACAACGCAACAAAACCAAGTCTATATATTTCAAAAATGCTGCATTCATATTAAGTAATAATTATCTCAATATCTCATGATCTAACATGCAATTCATAGAAATCCTTCAATCTAGGACCCAATGCCAATCTCCTTTCAGTCATCTCTTTCACCAGTTCCTTAGCTTCCTCGAATTTACCTCTGGTGATCAACCTGGTCGCCAGTATTCCAAAATTCTCCGAATCCAATTTCACGTCTCTCCCTGCATAGCTTCTAACAAACTCTGCTGCTTGTTCATAAAACTGGTACTTCAGCAACGCGCCGATAATGTGGGCGTGTGTGCAATACAATGGCGAAACTCCATCATCTACCATCCTCCTCAACACTGCCAAAGCCGCATCCAATTTCCCAACTCTACACGTGCCTAAAACCAGTGCGTCGTACGTCCTCGTATCCGCCCCGAGCTCTTCCTCCTCCATCTTCGCTAGAACTCCGGCAGCCGATACCACATCTCCGGTGAAACAATAACCAGTCAGCAGAAAATTATACGCCGTCAAATCGGGTGCGATACCGTTAGATCTCATCACTTCCATCACGCGCCACGCTTCGTGGAATTCCTCCTTCTTCGTGAGCGCGTTGATTATGGGATGAAACGTGACATTGTTCACTCCGTGCCTTTTACTCACCATGGTTTCGGCAACACGCGTGGCCTCCGAAATGCAGTGCATCTTCGAGAGACGCGCGATGAGACAGTCGTAGGAGCACTTTTTTGGGTAACCATTGTCTAAGCGAGCTATCGTATCCAATAGATCGTCGAGTATGGAGAGGTTAGTTGTAGAAACGAACTTGAAGGTATTGATGGTGTTGAAGAAGCCATCGGTCACGCGCTTGTTGAGGAGGTGGTGGACAGTGGCGAAATCTCCTTGCCGGCCAGCCTCGTTGATGCGCGCGTCGTAGTAAGTGCAACTGGGAACGTCGGGTATCGTGGCGGAGCTGCAGATTGAGCTTTGGATAGCGAAGGAACAGAGAAAGCTAGATGATTTTGAGCTTGAGGAGAGCTTGCGAAGTGCTAGCATTTCTAGGGTTTCTGTTTCAATGGGGAATTATCAGTCATGGATGGAGGGGATACGGGTTGTAGAACCATTGCCATTTGAGTTTGACTGAGTTATTTGGGCCATTTAGGAAAGACAGGACGCCACATTCCATGTCCGTGAACTGGAGCCCATTTACTATTTTCCACTTGGGAAGGATCAAAGAATTCCTATCTTACCTTTCAGAATTTTCAACCTACCGATTCATGGTAAGAAAAATAGGGTGATTATAAACAGGATTTTTCGAAAATTTCGAGAAAATAAACTCCACCTCCAAAATCTGATCTTATGGTGATCCGTAGGAGTAAAATCTTGCGGGTCGCCAAGATTTATTATTTCATACTGGGCAATACTTACCTAAGCAGTAAGTCACACTGATTCCTTAGGATTTGTGGTAAAATCTAGCTAAAGAATAGCTAAAGAATTTCAACCTACTGTTCAGTTGGGAGCCTATTTTTTATTTTTTATTTTTTTAATAAAGAAGTTGATTGACTAAGATTACAAGGTTGTCAAACTAGCTTAGTAGTACTTTTTTATTTATTTAATTATTTGGTAGCAGGGGCAGCTCAACAAAATTGGGGCCTAAAGCCAAACTTAACAGGGAGGCCCTAAAAAAAATTTTAAAAAAAAGGAAAGATCGCCATATATATTTTTATTTAAAGTCTATTTTTCTAGTATTTTTAGATACAAAATCATTAATTATTATCTTATAATCGATTTGTTCTAATAATTCCTTTTCAATTGATAATATAGCTAATACATTCAATCTCTCTTAAGACAGTGTTGATCTTAGATAAGATTTTATCAATTTTAGTTTTGAAAAACTTCTTTCGGCTGAGGCAACAGTTACAGGAACTGCTTACATTATTCTATAAACAATATATGTATTTGAAAAAGAATCAAGTCTTTTTATTTGATTGAGTATTTCGATTAGATCATTATCTTCTACTTTTATTATTTCTCTTAACACTTTTAATTCGAAAATAAATCTAAACCAACAATATCATAATAACTTTTATGTGTTAAAGAAAGTTCAAGGATAAGACAATGTTTCTTCAAATTCTCATCATCTAGTGATCTTAATTTTTTACCACTAAATAAGAAACCAAAAATATTTTCATACGCTTCAAATTGTTCAAATCTATTTTGAAGTGACAAAATGGCTTGGTCTACTATGTATAAGAAGTAATCAACTCTAAACGATTCTTCGGGAGACTTTGTAATTTCGTTATCAATATTCTCATCAAATTGTTTCTTTCTAAATATTACGCGTTTCTTACGAAATTCAGGTTCTAGATTCATCTCAGATGTAATTTTTTTAGTAGAAATCATAACATTTGCAAATCTTTCTTCTCTATATTTTTGAAAAAAGGAAATTAAGCCTCTAAGCATCACTATAGCAACATTAATATGCATATCTTTAGATTGTAAGTGTAATGACCCGGTCGGTCGTTCCGAGAGTTGTAGCCCCGTTTTCCCCATTTCTACTTATTTATGTGGTGTTCAGCTGTGTTGAGTTGTATCGAGTTGGTAGGTTTGGGTTTGGAGTAGTTTTGGAGTGAAATGAGACACTTACTCTCTTAGTTCGAAAGCTAAGTTAGAAAAGTCAACCGAAAGTTGACTTATGAGTAAACGAGTTCGGACTTGGATTTTTATGATTCGGTTAGTTTCGTTGAGTGATTTTAGACTGAGGAGTGTGTTCGGATTGTTATTTGGAGGTCCGTGGTAGAATTAGGCTTGAATTGGCGAAAGTTAGAAATTTGGCGATATTGGTCGGCAGTGGAAAATTAGGTATCGGGGTCGGAATGAAATTTTGGAAGTTGGAGTAGGTTCGTAGTGTCATTTGTGACGTGTGTGCAAAATTTGAGGTCATTCGGACGTGGTTTGATAGGTTTCGGTGTCGTTGGCGAATTTTAAAAGTTTAGAAGTTCTTAGGCTTGAATCCGAGGTTGAATTGGTGTTTTGGTATTGTTTTGGGTGTTCTGAAGGTTCGATTAAGTTCGGGTAGTGATATATGATTGTGGGAAATATTGGTTGAGGTCCCGAGGGGCTCGGAATGATTTCGGATGGTTAACGAGAAGTTTGGAAGTTGGAAATTTCATAAGACTAAAGTTTCAAGTAAGTTCGCACAAGACCTAACTTCAAAAGAGAATAACTCTCATGATACGAAGTGTTATATAGTGTATTACCTATCAAAAGAAAGGTATATGTGTCTAGTTTCCAATGCTTCAAACCGTTTGTCATTTGGACATTCCTACAATAAGTTATGACCCAATTACCAAAGTCTGAAAAAGTACGATTCTGTGACTAATTCTGCGATCGCAGAATCATTATGCGATCGCAGAATCATTATGCGATCGCAGAAGTAGTTATGCAACCGCAAAATGGTCGCAGACCTGTCCAATGAAGCCCATTTCTGGGCATCGATTTTGCGGTGCATTTGCGACCCGCATACCCATTTTGCGGTCCATTATGCGCCCGCAGACCTGCTTTCGGAGGGTTAATTTTTCTATTTTCATAACTCGAACCCATTTTGATAAATAGGCTTTGGGACTCATTTTGGAGCAAATATCTGGCATTTTTTTAGAGATAATGGAGAGTGTTCTAGAGAGAGGAAGAAGCTCAAGTGCTTTGTTCATCAAGATCTTGTTCAAGCTTTGAAAACCAACAAGAAAATATCACAAGATCTTCACCCAAGAGGTAAGGTTCTAACCCCTAGTCTTCAATTTCGAGTTTGGGTAAAGATGAGTGATTAAGAGTATGATTCTTGGGTGTAATAGTATCATTTATTCATATCAATAAGCTTTATGGAAAGATTGTTGAGTCCAAATGGGTATAGATTGGGTTGAAAATGGTAGAAATCTTCAAGACTTTAATTGAAGATTTGAGAGTCGAGTTGATGTCAGAATTTGACGGGCGTGTAGGTGTGCACCGCGAGGGATTGAGACTTGGTCCGTCCCGTGAGGCTGTGAGGCCTAATGGCTATTATCTGTAGTTATGTGTTCATTTGTTGTTGAACTTGTTTGCCTTCATGTTAGAGATCATGCTTAGGCTTTATTCATGCTCACATTATTTGCAGTCAGTCATAGATATTATTGTACATGTTTATCTCAGTCCCTATTATTTTGCCGATATGCTGTGATACTTGACGTGGGTTGTGTTTCCCTTATTTGTTGATGATGGTGAGGCTAGAGAGGTACATGACTGAGTGAGGCTTAGGTCCTGTTGTGAGGTATTTGATTGAGGCGCGTGAGTTGGCTGCGTAGCACGTGAGTTGACCGTGCGGATCCAAGGATTGATATTATGGCACGTGAGTTGTCCGTGCAGCACGTGAGTTGTCCGTGCTTAGCGCTTAGGCTTTGGGAGCCCCTCCAGAGTCTGTACACACCCCCGGTGAGCGCAGGTACCTACTGAGTGTTGAGTGTATTGAGTGTTGAGCGCGAGTACTGAGTGCTGAGTGCTGAGTGATGCAGTGAAATTGCTGTGAGGTTGCATTTACTTTTGTTGTTGTTGCATTTACCTATTAATTTCTTTGTGGCATTTGTTGGTTTTATGGAATTTACCTGTTTATTCATGTTTATTGTAAATTGTGAAAATAAATAATTGGACTGTTTTGCTTAGCTCGTCACTACTACTCAGTTCCTTAGTTATTTCTGTTGCTACTGAGTCGGTTGTACTCATACTATACCCTGCACTTTATGTGCAGATCCAGGTGAGTTAGAGCGCGGCGATCGTTGAGTTCAGGCCGGTTATCGTTAGAGACTGCAAGGTAGCTGCTAGCGTCCGCAGGACCTTGTTACTCCTTTTATCATTTCTTCTTTTGGACTGTATTGACAGTTAGACAGTTTTATTTCTTAGTTCATAGATTGAGACGCTCATGACTTAGTGACNGTCATGAGCGGGTTTAGTAGAGTCTTGTGGATCGGTACGGAGACGTCTGTACTTATCTTCGAGACTGCAGAACCTTTAGGAAAATTCCACATTCTTGGATTCTTGTCGTGCGTCCTGTGCATTATAGTAACTAAATATCTGTTATTCATTCTCTCACAGATGGTGAGGACTCGTGCTACTGGTCAAGAGGGACAGCCACCAGTTCGGGCCGCGAGAGGCCGAGGCCGTGGTAGAGGCCGTGGTAGGGGCAGAGTCATCGCCAGCGCAGCAGTTGGGGCAGCACCTACTGATCCCCCAGTTGTCCCCGCTCAGGACCAGGTCCCGGAAGTAGAGGTTCTGGCAGGACCAGCTCAGGCACCACCTATGCCTATTGTGATTCCAGGCCTTCAGGAGGCCCTAACTCAGATTGTGACAGCATGTGCCGGCCTTGCTCAGGCGATCTATATCTCGACGGCCGCAGCCACTTCTCAGGCTGGGGGAGGCACTCAGACTCCCGTCGCTCACACACCCGAGCAGGTTGTTCAGGGACTTCAGACATCGGAGGCACCACCAGCCCATCCGGTTGCAGATGCACATGATTATGTGGTCCTGCTATGCCTGAGGATGATCAGCGTAGGTTGGAGAGGTTTGGGAGACTCCAGCGGCCACCTTTCAGTGGCACAGAGAGAGAGGACGCTCAGGACTTCTTGGGCAGGTATTAGAGGATACTCCGTACTGCTGGTATTCTGGACACTTGTGAGGTCTCATTCACTACCTTTCAGTTTTCTGGGGCTGTACTTAGATGGTGGGAGACTTACGAGAGGCGTAGGCCTATTGGCGCAGCACCCCTTACTTGGCAGCAGTTCTCCGTTCTCTTTTTGGAGATATTTGTACCTGAGTCCCGCAGAGAGGAGCTGCGCAGGCAGTTTGAGCAACTTCGCCAGGGTGAGATGTCTATTACACAGTATGAGATGCGATTCTCCGAGTTATCATGCGGTCATGTTGGCTCCCACAGACCGAGAGAGGATCAGGAGGTTTATAGATGGCCTCAGATTTTAGCTTCGATTGCTTATGACCAGGGAGAGAGTATCTGAGGCTACCTTTGATGAGGTTGTCGACAGATTGAGATGGTTCGAGGTCAGGAGAGGGCTGAGAGGGAGGCTAAGAGGCCTCGTGGTCAGGGTGGTTTCAGTGGTGCTCGACATGGAGGTCAGTTTCAACAGGGCCAGTTTTAGCAGAGTCAGTCAACATTCAGTGCATTGCCAGCGCAGGGCTCCCATTATGCCCCGCTCGCTCAGGTATCATCGGGTAATTCTTTTGGGCATCAGGAGCAGCAGTATCGTCAGATGAGGGGTTGTTTCGAGTGCAGGGATTTTGGTCACATTGCGAGATATTGCCCTAGGCTGTTGGGTGGGACCCCACAGTGGAGTACTCGGCCGACAGCACCAGCACCACTTCCTCCACCACCCGTCCAGCCAGCGAGGGGTGGAGTTC